AGCTTTTCATACATCTTATTTTCTCCAGAGCCACTTTCCTAACCTTCAGGGAACAATCAGCCACCAAATCACAGGATTCCTGAAGTGTCAGAAAGTACAGTTACAAAGTTTGAAAATGACCACGATCTACTCAGGATTGATGTGCTATTGAACAAAATTACTAATGGAGTTTAAGATCTTTCCATGCCTACAGCTTTAAGGCTGCCTCAGAGCAAAACACTTACATGTCTATACACATTTTAATCCCTTTTTTACCAGAAGAGGAAGGCTACCATTAGAATTCCACCCTTTTTCTGAAAAGTTTTTTTTTTTTTTTAAACATTTCTGTTCGCTGGAGAGTTAATTATCTAACCAGGGGGACTATCCAGGACAGTGTTTGATTTAAAAGGCTCGAGGCTTTAGGTGCTCAATTAAGTAGCTATCGGTCTCAGACTGGACTATAATGGGCTCTTTTCTCTTTAACTCAAGCAACGGGGAGATATACCCCAGGTCAGGCTAATTAAAGCCAGGGGAGTCTTTAATTGTGATGACAGAATCGGTTTCAGTTTCCTTTCTTTGGGTCCTCAGTCCAAGAAGGTCGTTAATATTTCAGCATTTGGGCAATGCAATCAATCACAAACATCTAGAGGTTCCTTATATGGGGAAAAAGGAGAAATCCCACCAAACCTCCACACTTTAAAGGTGCTTTGCTCCTAGGAAAAACACCTTGAAGTGCCAGTACTGTTTGCCAGCTCCAGCTCTCCTTGCTGACAGAAAAGAGATGGAGAGCAAGTTGTATTTTCAGTTCAGTAATAATACTTAGCATCTTTCCCTAACTTCAATGACCAATAGGTGGGCCTATTTTCCAATGCATTATTACTTCAAGCAAAATACATGCAATACTAGCTTTACCTGGCTGTTTTCTAAACTGCTTTCAGGCAAGGAGAGGTGCGTTTCTGAGAGTGTGGCCGAAAGGTATACATTTGTACCTGCAAGTAAATATCAGCAACCTATCTAGGAGAAAAATGCACATCCACAGCTACTGATCCAGATGCAATTGGTTTTCCAGCAAGTTCCTATATTTAATCTAAATTCTGCACCAGCTATATTAAATGTAACAAAGAAATGCAACCCAGAAATTATGCCTGGAGCCAAGTCCATTAAAGATACTTCGGAATAACTAGAGACCAAGCACCAGAAGCTATTGATACTTAAGAAGGGCCTGTGAATAATCGCAACTGCTGCGTTAGAGAGGGGAGGGAAAGAAAAAAAAAAAAAATCAGCCAAATTACGCTTGGTTAATTCAGAGTAACAGATCTGCCCCCAAGTGAATTGGAGGCCTTGAATTAATTCTGTTATGACAAATCAAGATAAACGTTCCCCCTAAATTGCATGCGATTTAATTAATTTTTGAGATCCTCGGATTTTTTTTTTCCTAGCTAATAGTTCACATGCTCCTGTGCTGTCATTGTGCTTGAGTGGGCAGACTTCAAAGTGATATTAAATAACCAACTATTAGATTTACCTAGCACGTCCTATTGGAAAAGTGCCATTTAATTACCTAGCCTGTTCAATTAAAGGGACAGCATTCTCTGAATATAGCAGCTTGCTGTTGATTACCAGGGAAATGAACTCGCTGTCTGGCGGCGCCTCCGTTCCTAACGCTACCCCCCTCCCCAAACACACCCTCCACCACCCACCAGCACCAGTCCCCCCGCCCCGGGCCCCCACCCCCGGCCGCGCGGCGCTCACTGCGGCTGCGGGCGCCACGTGAACCTCCTGAGCAGAGCCCAGGGAGAGAAAACGCGACCCACTCGTCCAGCTCCCGCCCTGCGCTCGCCCCCTCGCGGGCCCGAGGTACCGGCCACTGCGGCCTTGGGCGCCACCGGCCCCTAGCCTGGCCCCCGCCCGGTCGAGCGAGCGAGCGAGCGGACGAGCCCCGGCGCGCAGAGAACCGCCAACCGGGCTTCCGGCGCGCTTCCTCGCCTCACCGGACCTGAAGCCCCACCCGTCGATCTCCCCGAACTTCCTCCTCTCGCTGCACCTTCCGCGCCAGTCTTCGGGCCGGAGGTGGGGGTAGAGAAAGGAGGACTCGAAGAAAGAGAATCAGAGTTTCTGAAGCTACTTGGTGGAGCTGGGATTGAGCTGGGGGTTGCGGAACTGGGGGGTCGGGGGGGGGGGCGCTGCTAAGGTTCCCCTACTTTTGTAATTTGGCAAGGTGGCCGGGCCTGGCCGGCGTTGGCCCCTTTAAGACCCACCCTCCCCTTCCTCTCCCTTCACCCCCTCCCCGCCTCTCCCTCTCTCTCTTAGAGGCCAATTTTGTTAATTAAATGTTTTGTTTGCGACGCAGCTCTCATTCATTGCGGACACGTCATTCGGAGCAGATCTAAGCCAGAGACCAGATCTCATTAGATAAAGCCCATCAGAACTAAGAAAATGGAGGAGCCACTAATTAAAGCTTTTAATTGTGCGGATTCGCTGCAGCAAGGCTTTATCTGAAATCTTGGGAGGGAGAAGAGCAGAAGTTCAGTTCTGCCCAATCGACACTTGGTCGCTCAGGGGTAAGGAACGAGGGAAAAGCGGCACCCTCCCCCCAGCCCCCTCCTCCCCGGGGCTCTCCCAGCTCTCCCGAAGCTTTTTAGCCAGATCTTGGTTGTTAAAAAAAAAAAAAAAACACACAGCCTCAAAGTCAGACAGTTTAAAAGCCCCTTAATAAATCGCTCAGTGGTCCCAGCTGGGGCCATAGAGCGAAAGAGTCCCCTTCACCTGGTGGCCGGCGAGCGGATTAGTCCTGCTCCTCAGCGGCCGTCACTGCAGAATTGAAAGCGCCTTCAACAAGTGGACAGAGGGGAGGCTGGGGAAGGAGCAGCTGAGAGGGAAAGAAACACGCGCCTCCCCACCTTCCCACCCTTTTGGCATCTTGGTGGGCAGAAGGAAGGAACCCTGAAGAAAATCTTAGGAGATCCCTTAAAAACGGGGGGCGGGGGGCGGGCGGAGGGAGGATGCTGCTGCTGAGCTATGGGCAGTGGGAGGGAAGGATCAATTTGTTACTGAGCTGGAACACATCTCTCCAGGACAAATCTAAGGTTCTCAGGGTATCCTCTAGTTCACCAGCAATGGTTCCAGTTTTCAGTAAGGAAAAAGGAAAGGAGACTATGGACCCAATTAATTAAAGCTTGGGGTTGGGCACATATCCTCTGTTTCTCCATTAAGCCATGAGAAAAACTCCAAATGGACATTTGATATTTGTTCCCAAGAATAAGGAAAGAAATGGAAGTGATTCCCAGGAAGCCACTTGCCTAAACTTGTCCCGAGGGAATGCAAGTGGACCCATCTTCTTTTTAATTAGTGGTAATCAGAAGGTTTTCTGAAGGCACATGGAGAGGAGATGAATCTGTACCATTCACTGCTTCTGAACAGCACTGTCATTTTTCCCCTTTAAGCCACCCTCCTTACCACAGTTTTGCTCTCTATTTAATTACAATACTGTCAAAGCTCATGGCATTGCTTGGAAGGAGGATAAGAAAGCATTACACCCATGCTCCTGCTGGTTTTCCAACACTTACTTCTAAAAGAACACTTTGTGAAATTAATGATGCCCTCTTAATTTAAAAATAAAAGCCCTCTCCCTTCCTGTATCTATATATATATATTTTTTTTTAACTTGGCTGATTGAGGAGGCCAGTACTGTATTACTGGAAAACCAAATGTCACCTTATTCCATCATTTTACACTAATGATATCGCTGTGATAAACATAGCCATACTACTCAGCTCCGAATTGCAGTGGGGTCTTTTGCAGTTTTAGACCCAGAGTGAGGGAATCACAATAGAGCTAAACTTCAAAAAAATACCTCATCTATTGATTAACCCACATTGAAGAAACAGCAAAAATGTTCTAATCTCTATAAAGAAAATGGTTTAGAGCGGAAATTTAAAGCAGTTTTTAAAAGTGAGCGGTATTCTAATATCAACTGTGTGGGTGTGGGTTTTTTTTTTTTTTTAATTACTGGATGTTGAAACAGAACACCTCCTAGAAGCATTCATGTGCATCAGTCTATCAAACCATTTACTCAAATTAAATGTGTAATCCTTCAAATGCCTCCTTTCAAATTAATGAGTTTAAGTAGCTTGAGTTCACCTGAAAAGATCTTATAGGCACCTGACCTCCTGAATTCTTTCCATTAATTGCACTGAAACTTGTTGGAAAATGCTGCTTACGTGGGCATATGAATGTTCGTATACATTGCTTTAAAATGCAAGATTAGTATAATTCTATAGCCTCTTTTCCTAAATCTCTTTTAGGGATCAAGGGCAGTGATACAAATAACAAAAAACCCAAAATCTGAACATTCCTCAATTGAAAGCACTGCAAAATTTTACATCACAAACCACACACTATTTCAAGCCTCCAAGTAACAGTATAAAAAGAGAAACATTACCATTAAGTTTGGTTTTTTTTTTTCTTGTTTGGGTTTCTTTGCTATAAGAAAAATGACAAGTCTTTAAACTGATAGGTAACCAGCAGTTTTCACAAGGGGCACAAAGAATGAGTCAGTTTTCTACTCAAGAAAGTTTAAGATGCTTATGTAAGTATCATAATCAGCCATCACCATCCGCAAATCATTGCTCACTAACCACACTTAAAATTTTAAGTCAATCTTTTGTCTCCGAGTTCCTATGTGGGCCCCTACCTTGCTTTAAGAAAGCAGCTTAACTCCTACTAGAAATGTTTATTTTTAGTGGAGGGTCCAACTGGGGCTGACCACTTGAAACCCTGGTCTTGAGTGCAACCTTGGCACACCTATCGACCCAGTTCCACCAGATGTGCAGTTCTCAGTTAGTGTGGCCTTCGCCATTAATCTGCCATTAAAAATTGGAAGACTAACACATGCTTCTTTAACCCCTTAAATTTCAGCCAGCCAGGTTTTTGGGGTGTATTCTCAGAGGTGCCGTTCCTTTCCTTAAAATCCTTGGTAATCTTTAGCCTTGCTACTGCTCTGCCCGCCAATGTTGGGGAAAAGGCAGCCAAGTCTTACCTAATGTAGTCATTTCTGCAAAGAATCATGCCGCTCTTGGTGTAACAGGACGTGCCGATGTCGCCCAGCTGCGCCTGGCAGCAGGAGCACTTGAGGCACCGGCTATGCCAGTAGCTGTCCATGGCATAGAGCAGAAAGCGGTCCGCAATCTTGCCCCCGCAGCCTGCGCACCGCTTCCAGGAGAGGGAGCCGGCCGTCACCGGGGGCGGCTGGGAGCTGCTGCCCGGATTCACCATGGTCTGCAGAGGGCGGGAAGCGGACAGGGAGAGAGAGACAAAACAGGGGCGATGCAAAAGTTAGTAATCTCCGCGCTAGAGAGCGAACCCGTTCCCCCCCAGAGCTGCTGGAGAGAAGCAGCAGAGCAAGGGCGGGAAGGAGAATGACGGGGAGAAGGAAGGAGGGAGGCTTGCCGGCAGCAGCCGCCTGTTTACTTTTCTCAAGCTTTGTTCTGGGGCCACGAGCTCCTCTCAACTTTCCAGCGCTCGCCGCCGCTGACAATTTCAGCTTGGGTACTGTCAAAACTCCGAGAGCCAGGCTCCGCGGCGCGCTCCACCCCTCGCGGCGCCTCCTCCCGGCCCCCGCCTCCGCCCACCGCCCCCTCCTCCCCTCCTCCGCCGCCCGCCTCCAGCAAATGAGGGTCAAACCCACCCACCGCCGCGCCCGGCCCCTCCCCGGGCCCCGCCGAGCCCAGAGCGCTCGCCGAGGGGAGTGGGGAGGCGGCGGCCCCCGCCGGAGCCACGTTCCCTCCCGAGCTCTGCCCCGGGAAGTGCAGCTGCAGTTCACAAGTTGGAAATAGTTCGGCTTTCTGAAGGGGAAGGAGGGAGGAACCAGCAGAGGGGAGATGGAGCCCGTGATGGTGGGAGGGAAGGCGAGGAGACGGTGTGTGTGATGGGGGGGGGGGGGGGGGGGCGGTGTGTAAAGTTGCGAAACTGGTTTTTCGTATTTTAAACTGCACCTTTCACATGCCATTGTGGTGACCGCCATCTCCCATTATTGTTCCAAATCTCATTTCATTTTGAAGATCAATCAGTGTTTTCTCTGGGTTTTCAGGACACAGGCAAGAATAATAGATCATTGAACTTTAGGATGCCTGTTAACTTCCTATACAAACACTCTCCACTTTGGTCTCACTAATCTGCCCTTGATCAGCAATTTAAATGCTAAAGCTTTGTTCCTCCAAAGGGGCGGGGGCAGCCGGGGGTACGTTACAGATAATATGCGAGAAGGAACTGTTAAAGGATGCACAAGTTATCTCCGAGCCAGTCCTGCTGTCACCAAAAACTGCTTTTAAAAATTCCCCACTCTTTCTAATGAATGTCACGAGAGAAGCAACTGGGGTATAATATAGGAATCAATTTATAAAGCTTAGCCTAAACCGATTAATTTGTTGCCTCCAATCCTGAGTCCAATAAAGTCCTCGTGTTCCTCCAGTCACTTATTCTATAAAAAGATCAAGTTATTTACTGCCAATTAAGCAGCCTGTTTTGTCTTTGTCCTCCGTAAGCCGAGAGTGTGGGCTCCCCTCGAGGCTCCCGGCTATCTGCTCAAGACATTCAGCTGATACCTCAGAAGGGAGACGGCGAACTTTGCCTGTCCCCAGCCCAACTTGGCTACTGCAGGAGGAAAAAAAAAATATATATATATATATATACACACACACATGGGGAAGGGAACGAAACAAGGACTCGGGTTCCTTAAATAGGCCGATTTTAAACACATTTCCTCCGAAAGAGTCCCGGAACGTGTGTCCAGTGACCGCACAATAAACCAGAATAAGAACTGCACCAATTAAGCTGTAACAAAACCCTGAGACTTTGGAAACAGGACCACTCTAAAACCCATTAGCATTGCATTTATCCGAATGCATCATACCTTTATGTAAATTGATTTATCTGATGCATTTACTCGAGGAATTGCTTTTTGTTACAATTTGCCCTGACCCAAATGAATCTGCATTTCCTGCCCTAGGTCTTTAAACAACCCCCCCCCCCGTTTTAATCGCTCCAAATTCCTTTTTAAAAGAGGAGGGAGGGAGGAGATTCCAAGCTCTTCCCCGCCCCCATCTTTGGTGAGAGGTAAATATATATGTATTTTTTTTTTAAAGGAAACACTACACTGAGAAAAGCATCCAGTAACCCCATTAGCTAAAGCTCTTAAGGACAAGCAATACCTTAATGCTGATTAAATCTAAAAGAGATGAATCAAGAGGACTGACCAGAAACTGACTCCCCTGATAACTAAGGACGGGCCCTCATCAAGTTTCATTTAGAGTTGGGGGGAAAAAAAAGAAAGAAAGCTTTTAAGTTAAATAGGCTTATACTCTAGTAATTACATAGCCAAGCAATTTAGGTCCTGGGATAGTCAGTGAAATAGAAAGCAGAACTGGCAGCTAGAGGCAAAATCTGCCCCCCTTTAACAACGTCTCTGGTGTTTTTTAATGGAGACCAAGGGAGGGACAGACGTAGCGCTGGCAATTTGTAGTACAAAAATGGATGCTTAATTCATGTCTTGATTTTAATTAGGTGATTCACCGGATTTCTTCTGGATTGGAACAAAAGATTTATAAGCCAAGAGGAATTTTTTAAAAGAACCAGCAATACCCAATCTTGCTCACTTAGATCCTTTCTGCCACTGTTTCAAAAATAGTGGGGGGGGGGGAGAGGAGTGGAGTGGAGGGTCGTGACTATTTCCCCCACACTACTTCTCAGACTTAAACCCTTATAACACCTCCAGCCTTCCCTTCGTAACTGAAAATATACCCACCCCCACCCCCCCAAGGTCTCCAACAGCCCCATCTCCCAAGAAGAACCCTTTTGTAAGCAGGAACCGCTACAAAGCTGGCGGCCCGGGGCTGTCCTCCGTGCTAGCTCGCAGGCCGACCTCGGTAGTTTCAGACTCGCGCATTATCTAAGCCGACGTATTGTTTACTTGCAATTTGGGACGGTCAAGGGAAGGAAGCCAAAGAAAACAGCCCCGGCCCAAATCGGCCCTCTCCTCTTTCTCCCCCCCCCCTCCCTGCCCGCGGCTCCCCAGCCGTCCCCTTACCTGCTTTTCCCCTATATTGCAATATTGCGAGAGGCGACGGCGGCGAAATGCGAGCGAAGCCGCTCTGCTTCCAAGGAAGGGGCGCCTCGGCTGGCGGAGCTGGAGGGAGGGGGGATGTTCTCGCAGAAGCAGGAAAGGGGAGGAGGGGGCTAAGGGCTGCTTTTTTTTTTTTTTTTTTTTTTAACGCGCAGCTCTGAGGCTGGGTTGGGGGGCCCCGCGTAAGTGGCGGGCGGCGGGGAGCAGAAGTGTCAGTCTCGGTCCTCGCCGTTCTCCTCCGCCTCCGGCTCCGCGCGAGCAGCTGCAGGAGCCCTCGGCCCGCGCAGCGCGGCGCAGCGGCAGCAACTGCTGCAATCGCTGCTGCAAGTTTGGCAATGTGGCTTCACTTTGTATATTCCCCCGCCCGGCGGCCCCCGCCCCGCCCGCGCTCCTCCTCCTCCTCCTCCGCCTGCCTCCCTCCCGCGCGCCCGCCCGCTCGCTCGGGGCTGCTGGCGGCGGCAGCAGCGGCTCGGCCGAGCTTCCTGCACCTCCAGCCGGGGAGCGGCCGCAAACACAACAGCCCCGGGAGCGGTGGCGGCGGCGGCCGGGGGACGAGTGCGCCCGGGAGGCGGGGAGCTGTGGCCGGCGGGGCCCGGCGCGCCGGAGCCTGCGCCGCTGCCGGGGCTGCTGCTGCTGCCCGGCTCGGAGGCGGCGGCGGCGGCGGCGGCGCTGGCCTCTAGCCGGCTCGCTCGCTCCCTCCGCGGCTCTTACACATGTGTTACTGACAGAGCAAAATCCCAACTACTCCCCGGCTCTGCCGCCGACGTCAGCGACCCTCAGCCACTGGGCGGCCGGATTGTTCAGGCGGAATAATAAAACCTGCCAATCCGGGCAAGGACAAAGGGATGACTGAAACGAGACTCCAGGGGCGGGGGAGCGAGCCAGGCGGAGGAGCGGGCCGAGGCTGGAGCGGGCAAGGGCCGGAATCAGGTGGGGAGAAGTCACCCGGGCGCCGCAAACCCCGCCGGGGCGGCCCCCCGCGGCCCGGGAGGGCGAGTCGAGGCACCGGGGACCCACTTGCCCTCCGTGCGCGCGAGGTATCCCCGGGACCCGCCCCACTAGTCCCTCGGGGACAGCCCGCCCCTCGCGCCGAGACGAGCCCTTTAGGAAACTTACTTCACATCTGCCTTGGAAATGGGTCTCTGTTGGGGTAGAAAGGCTTTCCCGAGACCTCCGAGCTGTGGAGATCTGTGCTGTGTTTTTTGAGGCGTTGTTTTTGTTTTTTAAATTCACCATGTTAGAGATTGGTGAACCTTAGTGGAAGTTTAATTCACAAGGTAGAAACAGTCAAGAACTCAATAGTTCCAAAACACTGCCTGCATACCTCCTCTTCTTCCCATCAATCCATGTATAAACTAAGGGCCCAGTAGGCTTTTCATAGGTATTCATCAACGTTGGTAAAAAAAAGATCACAGTCTACTTTCAAAGTTGAGGAAAACTTTAGGGAAAAAACCCTTGCCCCTTGTATCCACCCCACTGTAGAGGATGAGAAGCCAAATTTCTTATAGCCCTCAGAGTGATGGAACTTATCGCAGTATTAGAAATCCCACAGCCTCTGGAGAGTAAGAAAAGTTATTTCTAGTATAAATCAAGTTTTGAGGAACGCTTTGAGGGTGGTAGTCTGAGTGTCTCATTCTAGTACCGCAGGTCAGCCTAGATGCTTAAATACCTAGTCCTTCAACTTTTATCTGATCTGCCAAATAGGTTTAATAAATCTCCGATCTGAGGCTAATATTAGGTCTGATTATTATTAGTAAGTTCCAGAGAGATTTTTCTGGTGGAAATTATCATGAAAGTGCAAAGCCCTTCTGCTAAGTATCATTAAGTAAAACCAGTCTTGTGGGACAAGTTTTCATATTGTATTACACACAGCACTGCTAGATTGAGAAAAGGGACCTGCAGAAGAATCTAGCTACAGACAATGCAGATGTTCAACATCTATGGTTTTAGCGTCTGTTTGGGGAGATTTCTGTCTTTCAAACCATCAAAACTAAGTCTGCCAAAGAAACTATAGTCGTTGCCTACAACATCACGCAGAGGACATTTTTAAATACCAGTTCGGATATGCCTCTCTTTATATGTCTAGCACCTTGAAATGGAATGACTTACTTTTATTGATTGGAACTTAAAATTTCATTTTTATGATCAAATCACT